ATATCATATCATATATATATATATATCGTATGAAATCCCATAATAATGTTCCAAACCACAATCAGAATCCCAGCAGCTGAAACCACTCAGTAGCAGGATGCTTTGCAGACGCTTGGAGTTGCATTTTGTGTGAGTCGGTGAGTCTTGTCACCGGTCAAGCCACCAATGGATACTTATGATATCGGATGATGTTTGACCTTTAGAACTTGAAACTGAAATCCTGCTGAGCCCTGTCAAGTCCTGATATTTGGTTGAAACTGCCATCCTTTCTGAAGCCTCATTGTGTCATATCCATCAAAACCAGGTTAGCCTAAATCCTGAGGCCCAAACCAGGTCTTCCCATCAAGGTGGGTGCTTCATGCTGCTTCCCTAAATAGATTGTAAGCAAATAGCTGTGAATAAGGCACCTACAGCCCTATTCAGCTTGATTTAGGCGAGAGTGAGTGGAGTCAGATGACCACTGCAAACGAACGAAGCATGGCACGTATGGCACCCAAGTCCTTCAAAGGTAGCCTACCAATGAACCCCAAAGAATTGGATATTTTGATGCTGAGTTTTTTCAATAAGTTTCAAGTAAGCCATCTTTTTAAAAAAGCACCATGCTTTGATTGCTTTGAACGTAGAAGATCTCATTTCAGATCTCATTTCAGTCATCACTGGCCGCCCTGCGGTCGTGAGGAGGTGGAACATTTGACGAAGCTTCTGCAACGATTGGAGGCAGCTGGGGCAGCTGGATGAGATCAATCCCCTGGAACGCTTCACCGGAGGCCCATTAAGCCCGTTGATCTACGGTTCAAATATCCAGTTGATTGATTCATCAAACCGGTCAATTAGGAATAGGTATTGTATGGAAAATCACTATTTTGTTGATAGGTAAAAAATACTCACAAGTCATCATAAATCATCATGGATCATATATACATCCCGTCGGGGGGAAAACCGCGCCAGCGGTTGTGAGCGTTTCGAAAAAAATGTTGTTTTCGCCATAGCGAAACTATTGATTCATTCCACAAAATAGGCTTAAAATTCCCCAGGAATTTGAAGTGCACTTAAAGGGAATTTATGGGAATTTGCTCTTGAAAACGCGCGCAATGTTTTCCTCACTCTCACATCGCCATGCGCTTCTTCAAAGAGAGACCAGTGACCTCCAAAAGTTCATCCAACGCCATTGCCACACCCTGATGTTTCGCATCAGTTTTGGGTTCACATGGCTGTTGACTCTGGACGCAAGTTAACATGAACGTTAACACCCCCCACCCCCCAACCCAAGACGTGCATGTGCATGTGACGTAAGTTAACATGAACGTTAACACACCCCACCTCCCCCGACCCAGTAACATATGCATGCTTTCAAAAAACGTGCACGACTACTGGCGCGGTCTTCCCCCTGCTGGCATATACATCATACATGGTTAATCATCATCATTTTACATAGCAAACTGCTCCAGGGCTTCGTGAACAGCGAGACCAACACCTTGCAGCAGCAATGGGTCGGGTTGCCCATGGGGAAAACCCAAGCTGACTCCCCCAAAATGAATACAGCATAAGATCATATAAGATCTATAAAGGGAAACCCAAATAAAAATAAACAAATCTATGTAATCTACAGTAATGTAATCTATTTGTTTATAGAGAGATGATATATGATATATGTTTTTATTGGATGGTATATACAAATATATGGGATAATATTTAGAATTTTCAGGATTTATAGAGAACTCTCTCAGACTGTCCCTTTCTCTCTCTCTCTATAAATCGTGTGCCATAAATCATTTCTTATCACATGTAGGAATTACTTCAATGATTTTGAATGTTCCTATTTAATTTGTTTAACATGCAGAGATGTTTCCATATGTGTGACTAATGTGTTTACATTGTTTGATTCCTCCATGGCGAAGATGATCTCGAAAACGAAATAGACACATGCCCCCCAACACGCAAAACTACATCTAGTGACTTGGCGCATGGTACCCGAGCTTTTGCATGTTCTCATGTATATAATCTATGTATGCGCTGGCAGCTCATGAGGAATTGTCGGTCCAATCTGTTGATTTTCCTGATGAGTTCTGTTCGATGCTGGGTAACCTGTGGCTCAAACCTGATTGTGCCACTGAGGGCTGCTGTTGTTTCAGTTTGTTTCAGTTTGGGAGTTGCCAGTTCAATCTTATGTAGCCCGATACGTGAATAAACGGGAGGCAAGTTCAAGTGATTCAAGTCCGGTTGGGTCAAAGCTAGCAGTCCTCATTGGCCTCGACAGCACGTCTTCACAGAAGGGACAGTTTCCAGGTCCCGAACGCCATATGATGCCACAGAATCCGATACCCAGAAGATTTTTGCACCTTTTCCCAACAAATCTCCGTGGCCATGTTGCCACACTATGGTGGCTACCCTGGCTACCCTGGCTACCCTGGCTATGCTGCGCACCAGGCGGTGCTTTGGGATTGTTGCTGGGGGGCATGCCTGCAAGCACGGGGTTTTGCTTGTTGCCACTCATTTCGAGAACAGGAACCGAAGTAGGTGGAATAGAGGTATCCGAAAGCTTTGCCAAGAGCGAGGCTACTGCCGCAATTCAAATCCCAAGAGCTCATGGTATGAGCCGCAGATACGTAGTATGCAAGACATGGCGGTCAGTTTTTGACGTGTTAATCATTCTCAATCCATTTTGGGGTGTGCTACACCCAAGTTCAAAACCGATCTGATTGGCACTTCCAGAACAACAGCGATTTGAAGATGCTGCTTATTGTTCCTTCAGGCGCACTCGCCCCATGCTCACTGGCCACACTGGCCGGCTAGTGACAACGGGCACCTTGTTCAGTGGTTGGGGTTCCGGGCACAGAACTTCTCTACTGCTTTGGGGTTAGGGTGGTTCAGTTGCACCTTGGTGGGTTTCTCTAAGCCATTAACGATGAGAACTGTGAGAGTAACTATCCCCAACTGGCCCAACAGGGTCAAGATGGTCAAGCATGGCAATGGAAGAGACCCCGCATGTGGAGGATTCTTACTTACCCTCTGGTAAACTAACATAGCTATTGAAAATGACCAGTTATAGTGGATTTTCCCATTGAAAATGGTGATGTTCCATAGTTATGTTAGTTTACCAGAGGGTAGTCTTGAAACATGTCATCTTTCCATGTCTTGGTTTACTGAAGAGAAGATTATTTAAATTCAAATGGCATCACGCATGAATAATTTTGGAGCCAAACTTCAACGCTTGTCTCCCATTTTTGAATCATTGTATACTGGTTGGTGGTTTGGAACACGTGTTATTTTCCCATATATTGGGAATAATATGGACTAATCATCTCAACTGACTAATCTTTTTCAGAGGGGTAGGTATACCACCAACCAGTATATCATTGTGACCTTGATGAATTTCTGAGTTCTTCATATGGAGGTTTCCTTAAATAGGGGTACCCCCAAATAAACCGTTTGTAGATAGGATTTCCCAAGAAATAAAAGATCCAGCTATGGGGGGGATGGATCCCCAAATGGTGAGCCTCACCTAGGTATGCCATTCCAACGTGGCAAGGAGCCTCGACACTTAAAAAGGGGGCCCGGTAACGGGTACGGGCCGAAACTGCGGCCGGAAGTGAGGGAAACTGGGAGTCAATTGGGATTTTAGGATATCTATAGGATTTCTATTCCCGACTCTATCCGTTGTCGTATGGTGTCGTGGCAGGAAACCGGTCATAGGCAGGTAGGTATCAAAGATGCACAAACATTGGATACTAATAATAGATACTAGGACTGTCTCAATGTCGGACTGGTAGCACTGAATTGGAAAGTCGTCGGTTTGCCAAATCGTGGAGCAGTTGCCTTCTAAGGACACCAGTACAGTAATTATGCTTCGCCGCAGCCTTAGATTTGCACTATGCAACCTCATCCCTCAGATTGGCAATGGTAGAAATATATAGTTTGATCAACACTTTGGAGCTGTCCTATCTCGATTTTTTCGGCGGCGCAACCTGTACCCACTGGAGTCAAGCAAACGTGGATCGTGATACGGGGTGATCGGGGTATGATTCAAAATTGGAACCTCGAATCCAACAGAAGTGCAATTTTTCATAATTAAGGCCCCCCAACTCTGGCCATACCCCAGGGCCCTGTTTGAAACCTCTCGACCGCTTCAAATTTCGCAGGCACAATGAGCAGAAGGGAAGCTGCTTCGACACCTGGCTTAGTTCCGCTGAAGTTCGCCGCGAACTGGCCCGCCACATGTAAGTCATTTACATTCATTTATAATCATTGATAATAATAATACTGTAATTTACATAATTTTCATGATGTAATTTACATTAATTTACTACATATGTTAAGCCACTGTCAATTTCTAGTGACAAACAGAGGCTTCGACAGGGGTTTTTTCGTCCCACTGGATGATCTGGATGGGTCAGCCCAGCAACAAAGAAGTCATGGAAATGGATAGTAACTGCATCTGAGGTGGTCTTTAAATGTCTTTAAAGGTTGCCCAGGATCAGGATACCTCAGGATATCTCAGGATACCTCAGGATCCCCAGCCATGTGGTTTCAGGACTTTGGTTTCTGCAGCGAAGAGCAACAAAACATGGCGTGCCATGGCTGCTTTGGTTAGGGCAATGGTCCGCCCGAAAACGACCATTTTTTTGGGATCTTCCCATTTTTCTCCAAGTTGTCCCTTCTAAACTGAGGTATGAGGCAATGCTCTCAAGGCTCAAAGAGGAGGCGGCCCAGTCGGCTGAAGGTTGAGTTTGGCGAATGGTAGTTGGGTGCTCTAATTTTTTGGGCCATAAATGGGGAATATGTTATACTGTACATAGAAGTTACATGTCATTACGTATAATATCACATAATAGCATATAATAGCTATATATGTTTGAAAAGTAAAATTGTGTATACATATATGTATATGTATATACATACATATATGCATGATTATGTATATACATATATATATATATTGAATTGGCTGACTCGCCCAACCGCAGCCCCAAGCAGCACCTCTGCTTTCACACCACTATGGCTCACAAGTCCACGCCACTGCCCACCCCTTGATGGACATGCAGCAGCATGATATGAAATGGGTCCTGGGCATGTCCTACCGGCACCTGACAGGAGATGGATAAACTGAGGATGTTTCACACACCCCGTACTTCAAATATTGTTTTTCCTGTCCAAAGTGCTGGTAGTGAAGCATGACCCCGCGTACCAGGCCAAAAGTCCTTCTCATTCCATGTTTCTCCAGATTCAAATCTGGCAAAAGTGGTCCTCTCCACCCCAAGATTGCGGATGTCAACTGGGCATCCAGGAACCCCTATAGGAGAAAAACGTTTCCAACGAGGAACATGGTGAGTTCGGACAACCTGGCCATGTTTGTTTAATTCCCAGGAATCTTCCAAAACTGACGTATGATTTGCTACACTGGGTCCGGAGTCTGAGGTGGCCTCTTTAGCCCACTTGGCTCTTTGCTTTTTGTCTGAACGCTCCTGAAGAACCCTGTTCTCATCAAACAACGAATATCTACCACTCTTGAGGCATTCCCGCAACACTGATGAGTCCATACTTTTGGTCAAGCAATCGGCCAATTGAGCATGGGACGTCACCCATCGAATGGCACAGTTGGCTTTAAGCCGTTCTCGAATTAAGAGGCATTCTATGGTGGTTCGATGTTCTTCGCATTGGGGAATGGCTGTACGGGTAAGGAGGTCGTATGCGCTCTTGCAATCCGTGACCAATGCAGCCCTCCTAGCATTCTCCAACACAGCTTCGGGGTTACCCCATTCAATAGTTGGATTATTTACCCATTCCCACATTAATCGGACCCATAGTAGCCTATCTACTGTACCACTAAGTGCAATTGCTTCTGCACCAAGGGTGCTCCGAGTGACCCGATGGATCTTTTTGCTAATCCACGCCACCGGGGCCATCACAGATTTCTTATTTTCCAAAAGCTCCGGAGTCGTTGCAAAAATCAGGCCTCCCTGGTGGGCAAACTTTTCCTTTCCTGAAAGAAACGAGGCATCTGAAAAGGCACAGTATGTGAGCTGGTCCGGTGCAATTGGAACGGTCATCAACGAGACTTTGTTGTTCTTGGCTTCATACAAAACTTTGTTTGCACTGACCATGTCACCCACAGTGGCTCGAGGAACACATGACTGGATCTCTCCAACTTTTGCACATAAATCCGGTCTTGTATGTACAGCAGCATATTGAAGGGCGCCTACCAGACTTCTTAACTGGGTTGTCTCATGTTCAGTAAGTCTACTTAGAGGCTGGTTCCTTCTACCCTTGGGAATCTCAATGGGGGCTATCTTCTCGATGTAGTCAATCTGATCATACTCAATGCTCTTATCATCCCATTGTTTGTACCTAATCCCCGTAAAGGTAAAGCACCCCTTTTCGAAACTGCCAAAGTTGAATTTTTGTCGGATTCTCTCCAAGGATTCGAGGAAGACTTTGTCACCTCCACCAATCCCATCATCAACGTGGATACCCAGTGTTCCATGGATCTGCAAGTGACCTTTCTCATTCTTTGATGCCAGGGTAAAACAGCAAGGATCAAGGGGGCACTGTCGATATCCCTCACTGATTAGGGTGTCCCTAAACTTGCAAAACCAAAGATAGGGTGCATCTACTCGGCCATATGCTCCCCCAACTAGTTCACATTGATCGGTCTCTTGCATGCCAAGTGACTCTTGAAGTTCTGGTGGAGGGTAAATGCCCAACAATCTACCATCCCCTTCCCCATGCAAGAATGCCGTCGATATGTCAAAGGACACAAGATCCCACTTGTAGCTGCTTACCTGCTGTACGATGGTTTGTCTGGCATCCTTGCTTAGGGTCGGTGAGTCATTTTTAATGACTCCAACTCCAGGATCCTCAAACCCAACAACAACCAGCCTGGCTTTTCCTTTTTGGCCATTGCTGACATCAGCTGGATTGTCGGACGGACCTGCTGGTTTCCAGGACAAAATCCATCGGCATCGCATGATTGCTGATTCAGGGATTTTCCCTTTCGAGACTTTGCGCGCTGTGGAGTGTTTCAGCCAAGCCCCAATTTCTTTGTGCTTGGCAACAGCCATCCTAAACTGATCCTCACTTTTCAGATTGCTCAGTTTGACTTCTACCTTTCTTTTCTTGGAGTCGGAAACTAACAGCACGCTCTCATCCGCAGAGTTTGAACAAAACATCCTGACTTCCTGTTTTTGTTCAAGAGGAATTGACATTTCCCAAACATCAAAACTTTGTGGGGGAGGCTTCCCAAACTCTACATCATCCCCAAACAAAATTGGCTCCCCTTCCCTAGCTACATTCTCGGGTACTTCACTGCTTGACATTTCCCCTTCAGATTCAAAAGGCGTGTCAGGAACTGGAACTTCATGTGGCTCACATGGTTTCTCTAAATCAATTTCTCCTGGTTCGGTCTCTTCAGGGGATTTGATGGATGTCTCTACTTCAGGTTCAAGTTCAGAGGGACTATACTCACCATCATCCTCATTTTCGGGGATCCCATCATTACTCAAATCAATAAATACCCCACCCCTTAAGTTCTGGGAGAACCGACCTGGAGAGTTCTCTTCCATGGCCACCGATCTCTGCGTTTGGAGAGTCCTCCATTCACGGAAGCTGGCAGGACGGATCTGCTCTGGACAGGCACGAACCAGACGTCCACTGTGGTTGAGCCAAACATTTCTGGAACCCTCAACAGCTACCACACTAGCAGGACCAAACCAACGACCCCTCTCCCTTCTCATGTTCGGACCCTTTCTCCTCCAATACAAAACAAGATCCCCAATTTCAAATGGACCCCTCAGTGGACGGCTCCGACGCAACAGCGCTCTGCGCAGACTTGAAGAATTGTCTGCATCAATGAATGCCCGACGGGCTGATGCTCGAAGTTCAAGTCCAGCTCTAAAGACATCAGATGCCACTCCCTGGCCTTCGGCTAAGGAGAGGCTTCCAGCATCCGAATTGGAGGTTAATGATCCAGGAAGTTTTCTGGCAATCCCAAGGACAGCTTGTTCTGGAGAATAACCCTTTACCCTGGAAAGGGCATTTTTGGCATTGAAAGATTGGGTTAGGGCAGCCGCAAACTCTGCTGCTGTGTTAATTGGCTGTTCCAAATCCATGCGATCCAGCATCTTTTTGATTATGGCTCCATGGATCTCAACCCGTCCGAGTTGCCAGTGGGCATCACCAACTGTCATTTTTATATGTACATCCAGCGCTTGCATGCTGTCTTGCCACTTCTCAGCACGGTATTCGCTCGCAGGATCGACATACACAGTTTGTGGTGGTCCGGCCCATAGCATCCAAACTTGTTGAAATACTCTGAGTTGAGATTCTACATCCACACTTTCTACCGGTGCCCCCAAATGAAACAGAGTCCCCTCATCAATCACATGAGAAAAAGTGAACTGACGACCCCTATGATTTGTCCAAACAGCTGAGTCCATGCCAACAACTTGATTGAAACCTAGATCATCATGTATGGCAGCCGGTCGTGCAGAGTCAAATCCCTTCTTTCCTTCAGAGCAGCTATCACACTGGAAATCCAGGACGCCTTGAATTATGCGATGCTCCGCATGTCGTTCTTTCATGAACTTGGCCAGTCGCTCTGCTGTGGGATGTCCCAAATTATGGTGCAGACGTCGAATTTGAGCCTTTTCCTCCCCAGTTAAGTTCAAAAACCCAGGGCCATGTCGTGCGATACTTTTGGGAACCCCTTCACCAACTAAATCACTAACCACATCTCCCCCAACATCTCCTTCAGGGTTATTGTCCCCATTTCCTACCCCAGGATTCTTAGGAGGACCATTTGGAGGGTCACCAAACATTTCCCGGTCAATATCGGATAGTTCATGATTATCTTCATCCCCATGACGTACCATCTCATTCTTTGGTGACTCTTCCCCAAAAATGGTTAGGCTCATCTTGGCTGGTCTTCCCCTCCGGATTTGCTTGTTTTTGGGTAGATTCACCCATCGCTCAGCTGGTCCTAACACTTCTGCCTTGCCGGAAGTACGGTCTTTGATAACCGTAAGTCTGAGCGGTATGGAAGCCTGGCTGATGTCATTGGCTGGGATTCTCAAACGTTCTGTTCCCCTACAAGCTTCAACCCGACGAACCTTAAAACCAAAAACACCCCTTTGGATTTCATCAAAATCATCACCATCAACAAACACCCTTTTTCCAACCCTTGGAACTTGCGACTCAACACGTCTAAAAACATTATCCCAGAATTCTCCACCAGCACATCCATGGCTTCCACGAGGGGGACACTTGCCATTGTAGCGCAGCCGCTTGGCATCTGATTCAGGCCCAGCCGGGGCATCCATGCTTATATGTTCTCTTTTTCGGTTGATGACCGCTGCTACAAATTCCACATCTTCATGACCCACACTCAACTCCTCCCATAGAAGTGGTGGATTCCAACATTGACATGCCAAATATCGAGCCACATTCCTACCAAAACCGGAAGAGTAGCGAGCGGCATACTCCGATAGAGATATCCATCTTCCTAGATGGAGGACTTTGCCTTCAATCGGAACGTGCTCGTGGTTTCCAACACACAAGCGATGGTCAAAGGCTTTGTGGAAGACTTTGGAGGAAGTGAAGACAGTGGTTCTTTTTCTCATAAAATTATTTCCACTCATCTTCCTTTGGATCCTAGGGGCAAGTAGTTTACCTACTTCACACATGTCGAAGGTAGTACAAAGGGTTCCCTCTTTGACATCTCGTAACTCTGGTTGTTCAATTGCTTCAGATCCCTGGGGTTGCTCAAGATGAAATTGACCGCCTACACCCATTTGATGCCAATAAACCTCATTGCACAATTTGAGATGAACCCTTTGACTATCCCTACCTGCTTGTATTTTGGCTGCTGTGCTGATGCTGCGACCCATATTTCTCCTGCTGAAATTGCCCCAGTACTTGCATTCTGGTGCCATCCAAATTTCACGGGGACACTTCTCCATGATCTTCTTCCACAAAGCTTCCCGACCCGCAGTTGTTGATAGATCACCATCGTGGATTGTGAATCTCTCGGCTCTTAAACCAAGTCTTCGAGCTTGTTCGGTCAACTGTGAATCTGGTTCACAGTAGATTTCCAAGAGATCCAGACCCCAGGATGGTTTCTCAACCTTGCTTGGTGAAGGTCTTGTCCATGTTGCTTGAAGCTTGGCCAGATCCTTTTCAATTGACACTTGTGCATATTCCAATTGTTGACAAATGGAATCAACGCTGGCTGCTTCAAGCTTCACTGCCTTGATCTCCGACATCTTGGATTTCTCTACTGATCTACTTCCTCCCTCAGACGATCCAGTTCTCGCTGAAGAAGAGCCATTCGGGTGATCTTGTCGATCTTGTTCTCCGGGGCATATTCTGGCTTCATCTGGTTGCCATCGATCTCGTCCTCCATGGACCTTTTGGTTCGCTGGATCGGTGGACTGGCTCCACCAGACTGCACCGTCTGTGAGATCACCTCCCAGTCCACATTGCTTGGAAGGGACGTTCCCCACGAGCCGGTCATCAGCACCTCGCGCACCTTCTTCTCCATCTCCACCACCATCTTCTTTTTCAGCTCTTCGTGCTCGATCTGAGCTTTCAGCCTGGCACTGACATAGCTCTTGAAGCTCAGTGCCCATGGGGACACCAGCTTGGTGTGGTTGGCCATGAAGTGCACGTACTTCTGGTCCTGGCGAAAGACGTCGGCAAAGGTGGCATTCTTCCACTTGCCCTCCGGAAACTTCATGTCGCCCCACTCCCGAAGTGTTGAGATCCCTTCTGGACGGGAGCTCCTGATGATCGGCGGCTGGCTGAAGTTCAAACCTGGATCGACTGGTCCCGTCAATGGTACATCCAGATTCACGTCCAGATTGTTGGCATAGCCCGCCATCACCTGGGACTCGACATTGTTGCTGCTGCTCTTCTCCGGCATGAACGCCATGATTCACAGGAACGTCACCGTGAGGGGCGTCCGACGAGATCACTTTGTCACTGTTGAGTTGAGGTTGAGCCACTTTAGCTGCTGGCATGCCGTAGACATCATCCATCTCATTTGACCACGGCTGCTGCTGCTGCTGCTGTGTGCAATAAACCCCCTTACTTCGATTAGGTATGTTATTTGAACTACTTGCCATGGTGATCACTTCCTCAGTTTTAGGCCTTTGATCGAATTTGCATGCTGCCTCAATCAACTCAGTCAGTTTGATCGTGAAAAGACCCTTTGAGTTCCTACACAAGCTGACATCTTTGTCCCATGCGGACACACGCAAAACTGAATGACTGATCAGCAAATCTGCACCTACTGCACTCAAAAAGGCATTTGAAATGAGGAACGGAGTCCATCCTTGCACTACTTCAATTCGGAGCCATTTGGACCCAAATGGAATGTAAAGAGCCCCCAAACTTTTCAAGGTACCATTGTTACCAAACCGAAACACCGTTTCCGACTTCTGCCATCTCACTAAGCTCCGATGTTCATGTTTGAGGGTGGCAAGGAGATCGCTAACACGCTTTTCACCAATGACGGACTTGCTAGCTCCTGTGTCGATGATTCCAGTTCCTGAAGGCCCTAGATCTGCACTACTCTCAGTTTCATTTTTCCGTGACCTGACGACACCAAAGCTAGTTTCTAAAGCCCGTTTCAAAGCACTTCGAATTTGAAATTTCTCATTTGAAATATTGTTCACATGCAAAACTTTGGAAGTTCCTGGGACAACCATACAAACGAATTCATCATTAACATTGGAATACACAGGTGGTACCCCTGGGTGGATGTGGGAATGTCCCTGTTGCCGTGCCTCCCAAGTGGTCATGTTGTCCAGCGGGAGGTCCTCTAAGATCTCACCAATCAGCTGCTCCTCCACCGTCGTAAGCATGTTGGCTTCCGCACCACCTTGTCGATCTTTTTGAGGACATTCTTCTTTCCAATGACCTCGAACTCCGCAGATCCTGCAGTTGGAGGAAGCAATCCTCTCGGAGAGGCTCTGTCGCTTCTTGAGGAAGCTTTTGCCCTTCTTCGTTTTCCCTTTGCCTTTGGGAAAGCTTCGAATGGGCCAGAATCCACGTCCACGGACTTTGTCTCGGATTTTGGCCCTGGCTTCTTGGTAAGCTGAGAAGGCCATTGACAGCTCAGGCGAGTCCTGGCACACCTGAACTATGCTGTCCTCAAACTCCTGGATGACAAGAGCGCTTTCATCGCCCTCTTCAAGGAGTGCCATCAGCATAGAGAGTCCTCGTCCATCTCTTCTTCACCTGCATAGTTGATTTCATCCGCATCATCCTCCATGTAGTTGACCGGGTAGATCTTTTTCCTGGCACCATCACTTTGACCAAGAACCTTTGTTGACAGGGCTCGCATCGCCGCCTCGATCTTGGACGGTTCGTAGCTACCTGCCATCGAGATGATGCGCTTCTTGTCCTCTGCATTGATCCCACTTTGCCTGAGAATGACGAATGCTTTCACTGTCTGCACCGTAGTCTCAGGACCAACCTCCTGGAAGGCCACATTGATCCTATTCACATAGGAAACTGCCGTCTCGTCAGGCTTCTGGACGGTCTTGTAGAACGCCTTTTCAAAGGCCTCATAGGTCTGCAACTCAGCTGACTCTTCCCAGGTTTCCAGTGCCTTGAGTAGCACCTTATACCCATTGTCAGGGTCTGTCAGCTTCTCTGATGCCAGGCCTTTGACTTGGCTCCAGGCCGTGCCTTTGCACAAAAGCGCAGGGCGAGGCGCCAGCATCCCTTTGTCCTTTGTCGGACAGATTCCCCATAGGAACCGCACCTTGTCCGCATACTCCTTGGCGTTGTCCAAGCTCGGATCAAACGACGGAAGGAGGCTCCACAAGTTTGTCCCCTTCTCATCGCCTGAGGCTTGGGCTATGCCCTCAGACATCTCGAGTGCTTCCTAGCACCCTACCCAGCGTCCTCACCAGGTAATAGACACCTTCAACCTAGATCCCGTCGTCTTTGGTCGCCTCGACCTTTTTCCACCAACCAGGCAACTCCGCTGCCAATTTGAATTGGCTGACTCGCCCAACCGCAGCCCCAAGCAGCACCTCTGCTTTCACACCACTATGGCTCACAAGTCCACGCCACTGCCCACCCCTTGATGGACATGCAGCAGCATGATATGAAATGGGTCCTGGGCATGTCCTACCGGCACCTGACAGGAGATGGATAAACTGAGGATGTTTCACAATATATATACACGCATGTATATATGCATATATGTATGTGATATGTTTTAAATCGGCCTTGCTAAAAATCACATGCCTGGCGGCGCAGGGGACTTTCTCCCAGATCCGGTGTGACAATGGGCATTTGTTTCTTGGTCCCTGGAAGGAGTGGAAGATGTGGTTAATCTATGTTTAATCTATGGTTAATCTATGGTTAATCTATGGTTAATCTATGGTTAATAATGGTTAATCTATGGTTAATAATGGTTAATAATTGGAATAACATCATATGTGGTTGGTGGTTTGGAACATTTGGATTTTTTTCCATATATATTGGGCATAATCATCCCAACTGAGTTTCATATTTTTTCGGAAAGGTTGAAACCACCAACCAGTAGAAGTTAATACCAATAAAATAGAATTCCATTGAGTTAAGTTGGCAAGAATGAGCCCCGAAAAAGATGAGTCACTGGCTTTGGCCCTTGTTGGATTTGCTGGCTTGAAAGTCACAACCCTTGTTGGTGGAAGAATGTACAGGTTTGTCGAAGTGTTGAAACGCACAGACAAGTATTTACATACAGGATGGGGCCCCCAAGATAGCTAAGTTGAGATATAAATGGCTTAACTAACTATGGTTTATGGTTGATATAACTATAGTTCATGGGGTTCATAAACCAACTTTTAATGGGGGGCACCATCCTGTAGTATAAGGGGGTCGCAATAGCCGCATTCCGGAGGTGCCATGTGGGTATCAGTTCATGCCCACTAAGCCGCATCAGACCAAATGCGGTATTGCCACAACATCCCTGGATCATTGTTGGAGAACGACATGCTCAAATCATGTGTCAAATGATGTCAAACACTAGCACTCGTAGGTTTCTTAAGCCAAGCCAATGTTTATTTTCCATCGAACTTTTAATGGAGTATAACATGCTTGTTTGAGACAGATGGCATCAGGAAGTTTCACTTCTTCAACCAATGTACAAACGATATCCTCCGGAGCCTCGCAATCTCATCTCACTTGATGTCCGATATGGGATGTTTAACGAGCAGTATCGAGCAGTAGCATTTGTAAACGGAGTATACAACATATACACAAATTCAAACTGGACATGGATGGTTTGTAGATGTTTGTAGCAACCCGACAACTCGCAAAAGAAAAAAAAACAAAAGCTGGAAACATGGCACTTACGGAGGACTGTAAATCTCATCCATACACCATGTTAGATCCATTTTGGAGAAACTCTATGTGATATCTGTTCGGGGCCCTATAAAACTAACTAATCCCGTTCCCCCAATGTCAAATCTGAGAAACCCCCGAGTTTCAGGAGGTTTAAGGGATGAAACCACATGTCCAGGACCATAGAAAGGTGTGTTGTTTCATCCATGATGTCAATGGATTGGTTTAAGGGAAAATCTACAGGAAACCATAGATTTTCCCATTAAATATGGGGTTTTCCTGTAAATTTTCCCTTAAACCAATCCATTGATGATGGGATTCTCAGACCTGCAGGACCCCAACTTCCACCATGTCACCATGGCCCCATAAGGCGCATCAACGTGCCCTTCGCTGGGAAGTTTGCAGAGCGAGCGCAGCTCATGCGCTTCTTGCGCAAGGAGGTGCCACGGTGGCCAAAATCCGAAATCCGCTGGGGACGAAAAAACACCGGTGACCCTCTGGTAAACATACAAAAAACATCAAAAAACTACGGAACATCACAATTTTCTAGCTGGGGAAAGCAAAACTATTTCTATGGCCATGTTCAAAAGCGATGTTAAATTACCTGGGGGTACTAAGTGGGAAAGGATGGGAAAACTGATGACCCTTCGGTAATCACACATGGCCGCTGGTACATACCCGCCTGTTTGCCAGCAGATGCCCGAGAGTTTGTCACGGTGGGATTGTTGCAGGCAGCAATGTTTGTTTTCTGGTTGGTGGTTTGGAACATTTTTTATTTTTCCATATATTGGGAATAGTCATCCCAACTGACTAATATTTTTCAGTGGGGTAGGTATACCACCAGCCAGTTTTGGTCATGTGTCAATATATGCCATGTATCAGTGCCTTGGGGTTCATTTCAGTGTTTCATTTCAGGTGCACTAGGATTTTGATGGATTTTGGCAAGAAACAGTTCTTCGAAAGCTACCCATGGGACCAATATGTCCCAGATGCTCCATGTATGGAATATTTACCTACATTTACACCAAAAATAGTCCAAATGTAAATATTCCATACATGGAGCATCTTTTTTTGTTTATAATCTGCGTTCTCCAAAGAAAAAAGGTCTTGGAAAAGCGATCCGACATCCATGAGATCCACATCTTTGCACCTCGGCGTTGAACGCAACGCACCTCGCGCCGCGGTTTTAATGGGATATTTGGGATGATGTTTCGGCAGACCGAAGACGTGTGGCCGAACTTTTCAGGTGATGTATGTGGTATATAATTTAATGTATGTATATATATATAGTTTATGTGTCATCAAGTGCTGCCATGATTTTCGGATTTTAACCCATCCTCAGACGTGGTCAATCAAGCCAATGAGAGCCATTCACAGAGGAAGAGCCATGTTTGTCCCGTTGTTGAGAAACAACACAGCGCTACTATTTGGATCAAAATTAAAGGTACCGAAAGAAAACATGAAATGCGTAGTACCACATCTATGGATTACTTAGGCTTAGGGATTTGTTGGAACCAAAAAGATGATCAATGGTGGCGCCAGTCAGCCATGACCGTCCGTATCAGGTCACAGATGTGAATGATTTTTATGGCACCTTGGCTGAAGTGGCCCATTGAACGTTGTTTATCATGATTCTTCTAGAGTATAACTGTTATAATTATTCATATTATAACTGATATGTTTCTTCTAGATTATACTATAACATATTAATTCATAATCTCTTTTCTATCTACCAATATTGAGATTTGTCTGGAGTATATCTACCCCATACCCCACAAGTTTGGGGAAATGAGCCGACCATTGGCTTCACCAATGGGAAATCCCGATCTAAATGGCAAACTGGGAAAATCATCGAACTAATTCCGGGAGTTTCAGCAAGCCATAGTATTGGCCAATATTATATATATAATATGTACACATTCTATATATATATACATACTTATATTATATTTATATGTATTATATATATTATATATATTCCATATATATAGTTATATACTGTATTTATATATATATATTCGATAATATGCCATGTTCCATCAAAACATTCCAGATGATATCTCCTGGGACCCAGGCAGCAACGAGACCTCCAGCGACCCGCAGATTTTCCTTCACTTCGCGGTGGGGAGCTTTGTGATGCACGTGGGAAATCATAAGTGATTTGGATATATTTGGATAGAATGATAACTTACTTTAGGTTGGTTATTTATAATCATATGTGGTGAATAGATGTTTTTTTTGTGAAATTCATATATGTTTGGCAATGTAGCCTTGTAAAATTGTTATACTTCTATATTTGGGATTATTTGGGTATACTTGGGTCACCTGTGGCTGAAGCTATATGAAGCACCACAGTGGTTGGCAATGTAAGCAGTGAAAAGAAGGACTATCACTGTCATTGGATTGGTTTAAGGGGGCATCGACAGGAAACCATGGTTTTTTCCTACGACATGTAGGGGTTCCTGTGAATTTTCCCCTCATCCATTGACACTGAGCAAATACCCTCTGGTAAACTAGCATAACTATGGAAAATCACAATTTTTCATGGGAAAACTCACTATAAATTGCCATTTTCCATAGCTTTTTGTATGTTTACCAGGCCGGGTAAATGTCAAGTTGGCTTCTCACAGCCCATGCTGGCGGTACAGGTTCAAGATGGGCGTGTCCCGCTGCCAGCTGCAGATGTGGTGATGGCCGGGGGATAACCCAGCTGAAAGGGGGGTCATCCTGATGGAATGGCAGTCCTTGGCAGGAAAAGTTGTAAAAAAAATCCCTTTGTTCAGAAGTTACCCTCTGATAAACTAACATAACTATGGAAAATCACCATGTTTAATGGGAAAATCCACTATAAATGGTCATTTTCAATAGCTATGTTAAATTACCAGAGGGTACATCATTTGCAAATGAGGGATGTTCATGGATGCTCCACTCCACGTCATGTTGGGCTGCCGGAGCGCCTCCCAAACAAAGTGAGGATGAGAATACTTTCGGAAGACACGTGTGACACATGGCACATGCTCATGCATACTTACTATGCATGTATATACTGGTAAGTATGTATATATAATATATAATATAATATATAATATATATACATGTATTATACATATTCTATACATATATATATATAACACATATATATATAATTTTGATGCTCATGCCCTCATGTAGACTCATGTAACACGTTGACAGAAAATGCACATGTGTTCGCTTTTTACCTGCCAAGATTCTCCAAGAGTTGGTTTCCTCTCCAGCAGCTCTCAGGGGATGCATCCTGATTGCAGTTCCTCATTTCTCACCAGCTTCTGGGGCTACTACCAGGCGCCGTGGGCTGGTTGCGCTGATGGCCAGCGGACCGCCACTGACCGGGACCCTCGAAGTAAAGCGCAATACGAATGATGGATCTTGATAGTTTCATCGCCTGATGTTGTCATATGTTGTCATTTTTTTGTTCTCCCTCTGAAGGGTCCCGGAAAGGACAACAAATACATAAAAATACTGTCTAATTTGCAAACTAATTACTTTCTTGTTTTACATGCTGATTTACGTCTCTTTGTGTGTTATATATTATAAATATATTTACAGTATATCAACTTTTGTCCCCCGCCAGCCTTTTTCAGCGTAAGCCGCACGAGTCTCGGCCGTCGCAGATCGCAGGCGTACTACTACATGTGGCAAGAGATCCTACGCACGGCCCTCACGAGCGCCTGGGCGATTGGATCGGCAACCAGATTGGATCAGTCGGACATGGAGCAGCAGACCAGCAAAGAAAACACTCTGTAACAATAGTGTACTAATTATTGATGTACTATAATATGTATATTATTTTTAAGATGATGATTATTATTATTGTTATTATGATTATATTATTATCATTATTATATATATATGTGTGTGTGCACGCCATATGTATATATATTTTACAATACACACATTCTGTTAAAGGGAAAGCTACAGTGCGGTTTGGGCTTCGTGTGATGTGCCGACAGTCCGGCAGTCGCAAATTCTATCCTTTTATATCAGCCCCCGAAGACCAGGTCGTATCTAACCACATTACAAGGTTTATATGTTTACTATTTATATTAATAAGGTTTAGTATAACCATATTGGTTTAGTATGTAATATGTTTAAACAAGGTTTATCAGTAAGTATCTAACCACCAATATATATATATATATACATGCATATTATATTTATACATATTATATATATATTACATATTTGAACACTATTATTTCGAGAGTGTCGATTTTGGGAGCAGGCTTTCTCCACTCATATCTCGCTTCACCGTGAAGGACGCCAGCCGTACCAGGTAGCAGCTGGTTGCAATGATAGGCCATGGATCTATATTTTCAGATCGCACAAGTACGGCACTTGAGTTGCTGCCTCCCCATGAAGCCCATATGAACAAAAACGGCAGACATTCACAATCATTCATACATCCTTCCAAAAACTAGATTGATAGATATTGATAGATGCTCCGACATGGTGGCTCGCCGCTGGCCGTTTTTGTTCGGATCTTTTTTGGTGGAGCCATCCGTTTTTTGGTGCTCGGCTGAGGTGCGCCTGTGGCGATTTTTGCCAATCTGTGGCTGGAAGAGTCCATCGAGGTGCAAAGTGTGGCACGCCATCAAGGCCCCGAGGGCCTGGTGGGTCTGGTGGGTCTGGTGGGCCTGGTGGCTGGGATGGTGAATGCACCCTGGTTTTCAGGTGGTGAATCAGGGGATCACAACGAGTTTAGCATCAAAAATCATTTAAAATGATCCAAAACACGCCGTAAAAGCCATGAAAATGATGTCCAAATATATGCGGTTCGCCGATTCTGGCAACTTCACTGGCCGATCTCGCCACAAAGAATGGTTTATTGAGTTTATGCATGATGTGGGAGAGAAAAGCAACAGTGGCTTCTTGCTGATTTGGGACTTGCTGTAATTAATTAACTAATTTGCTGGGATAATGTTGTCACTCACCCCGAGGCTCGGCAGTGAATCAACATTAACTTCAAAGGCCTCGTATTGGTGACGTGTAGGTTCCAAGAAGATCCAAAACTGCGAAAGAATTGGAAAGAACCAATACATACCAATACGGTTCATGTGGTTTTTCACCATTCCACAATATAAACATATATAAACCATACCCAATTTACCCATATTGACCCCAGATTGCCATGGTGCAAATTATGCCTGTGTGAAGTCATGGTGACAGGCATGGTGGTGTCGCCTGCCCTAAAGAATCGACCCTACTATGGTCAAACGGTGACAGCACCGCTGATGCTTGGGCCGCAGCTCTTTTTCGGAGCATATCATGTGGTAAACCCATTTTGAAATGTGACATGAGAGGATAATTATACATAATTATCGGATGATCTTTGGGATAATTACCGGCTTGTAATAGTAATGAAACATCCCAGAAACCAACCATACAAAAGGGGTCATTGTAAACATCCCATATTACAAGGGGTATACGTATTCAGTGAAAAAAACCCGGGGATGGTTCATTATTGGGCTTACCTAATTGCCCATCACAGCTTTGCCATAATGCCATTGCTGTTCCATTTGATCCGATATGTATGAAATATTTATATCTCTATATATATATATATCTCCTGTAGTTGCAATGTTGGTAAATCAACATGTCCTGGCTCATTAAAATTGACCACAATGACCACAATGACGTGAATAATTATAGTTAAATGTATTATTCACCAACATGACAACTACAATCTCATTGTTGGCTGTTCAATTTCCCATTGCATTTTAGCCACATCCAAACAGCGAGTCCGGAGTTCGAGTCCGCAACCATCCGCAGACCAAGGACTTCAAACTGCAGGGACAGGCAGCCTTTTCATTATCTCGTCGAGCTCCAAGACGACGCATCTCCATGGCTCATGGCTCCATCTCCGGTTCCCCTGGGACCCGACATGACCCGACCCGACGCGGTGCCAAGGTCATTGCACAGCAAGCTCCGTGGGTGAAGCGCATTGAGGCCGGAAAAGGGGCCTGGATGCAGTCAGCAGTATAGCCTAGTGGCATAGAGATGGAAAATTGCGGAAAAGCCACCATCGACCATCCGGTGTCAGAAGATGGAAAATCCCCCGAACACAGTAACATAGCCATGAATGCTTGTAGCTGGGAAAATCATCTAGCGTTTTCTCCAAGAAGGGCATCTGACTTTGATGATTGTTTTGGGGAGGCCGAAACCACCAGACCAAGTCTGACATGAATCCTGCAGTTGGCAAATGAATGTCAAAGAATGGCAACGGGTGTATCCGGTGTATCCCAAATTTGTCTCTCAGCCTGAGGGTTTTCCAACAAAAGTACTAATGCCTGTGGAACCCTTTCTTGTTTTATATTCGAATTTCGAATCAAAGTGTATATATGTATGTATGTGAGTGTGGGTTTGTCATGGTTTGTCATGGTTTGTCCAAAATGTGGGTATATTCAATAGCCACTTATATAAATGAGAACATGATAGTCAACCATCAAATTGTTGGGGCAGTCGGATCATAGAGCCGCAAAGCAATTCCTGGGAAGCCGAAAATCACTTTGACAAGCCCTTGGTGTAGCAACTGGCTTGCCATCAGCACCCTGCTTGGATGTGGATCGCAGTGGATCGCAGTTGCGAAGTGGATCTAAGTGGCTAATAGCCATACTATAAAGCTATAAAGTATCATCCAGTATGCGGGATATATCAATGGCATTCAATGGCATTTTCAGGAACCGATTGATTGGAGGCACCTACCAGATATTTTTGGCCTATGTAAGGATCCTGAAATGACCATTGAATATAAAGCAGTTACAACTACATGGGTTCACCTCAGCACTTGATAACTGGGACTGGCTCCTGCAAGTGGAGCCTATGAGTTCGCCAACTGGTAGGTGCATGCGGAGGATTATGATGGACCATACCAGCCACTTGGCACACTTGGCATGGGGAAGATGGGAATATTGTCCAATCTGGGTCAAAATCTGGTTGGTGGTTTGGAACATTTGGATGATTTTTCACATATTGGGAATAATATGAAATAATACTCCCAACTGACTTTCGCATATTTTTCAGAGGGGTAGGTATACCACCAGCCAGAAATGATCAACCCCGCAAAATGGATTGCCTGCAACTAGAGATGACAAGCCTTGTGCTGGCCCACCGGTACCCCAATATTTTTTCGCATACTTCTCTGCTGAGAAGAGTTGGAATGCGATATTGCAATCCAACACCTACAGTAGATTTTTCAAATTGCTCATCGTCATGATTTTTCAGGATTGGCCAAGTGATCACTTGTTTAGGGGCGATCATCTCACCCCCCAACTATTCAGGGACTATAAAAAATGCCAGGGGATATCCCTGGGAAATCCATGGCCAAGGAACCAATGGACCATGTATCCACAGCACTACGCGAGCCAACCTTGGACATCAAGTATCTGGGCAGCTAGGGCTGGGGTACCCTGCGAGTCAATTCTTTTGAGGTGCGGTCTTTATGGTGATTTAGTGGGATTTAATGGCATTTGTTGGGATTTATATATATATATATTATTATATGATGTGCATATCCTTTGGTAATCCTACCTGCAGTGGCTTGAAATGTCTCTACAAATAGATGTTGTAATGGGAAAATAATCTATGAATTGTGGGCTTTCCACTGCCATGCTTGATTGCCGATGGGTAAACCTTCGATTTGTGTCCATGTGTTGGAGGCAGGCAAAGCCAGTTTTTTTGATTGTTTATGTTGGTTGGCCAAGATGGCTATACTGCAGTTTAAAAAAGAACATCGGAACATCGCACATGGACACCGTTCTTGATTGACAAAAATGAACCAAGCTGAGTGATGCACTGATCTCTTCTGATGTGCTTGTGTTGGCCAACTTTGGTGCTACGTGGGTGTGACACCTCCAGAACGGCATTCTGCGGCAGAGGGAGGATAGCAAAGAAGGCTCTCGACGAAGGTCATTAAAGACAAATTCAGTACGGTAAAGGTTGCACACAAGCGGTAAACTCTCATTTTGCGTTTTGATATATTAGATGGTGCTAGAATCTTCTTATTGAATACTTGAACATGGCATGTATTCACTGTATTCACATTCGTTTGTATGTATTTATGATTATTTATGTATGTAAACATGCAAGCTACATGTTGATCCTCCTTTGGTGTGCCATGACCTGCTCCGTTGAGGCCCATCATTCATGGCACCAGCTGCCACCTATGGAAGCATGCCATTTCAAGCCCCCCGGCGTCGCAGCTGGTTATGTTGCATAGCAGGCTGGAACATGTCTTCTAATGTGTTTTGCCTTTTGGAACTTTTGACTTTCTTGATAGGTGTGTTGTTTGTTCTTGGGGAGACGTTGGGGGCACGTTTTCTCGAGTTCCTCCCTGGACTGTCTTTGATGGTTCTTGGCTCATTGCACCAAGGAATACTGGAAGCAAAACCATTCAGCTTGCCTCCATCCTCCGTTGCTGGGCAGAATGGTGATGGCGAAGGTGATGATATTTGATTATCATGATGAGTCCTCCTTTTTTTGTTCATTCGAAACCACCAGGCGCAACATGACTTTTCGTTATAAGTTTTAGATGTTGATATGCCCCTGCACCAACGCACCAGCCAAAAATGACTGAATGCACGTGGGATATTCTTCCCGTCCATGGTGAGGCCGGCATATCCGCCCAACCTGAGCTATGCAACACAAATACCAAATACCGCATGTTATTGAACTGGTTGGTTGGCTGGTTTGCCCAGTGCTTGACAGATGCATGGAAGGAAACGCAGAGAATGTAATGCGCCATTCAAATTGGATGCCTCGGCACTGAAAACAAGATCCCTTTGTGGGACGCTTTGCACCACAATCTTGAGAGCTGTCTGTTGTATGTCTAAAAAAGTGCGGGAAACTTCCCACCAGCCAGCTATAATTCGGCCAATATCGGGGGGTGCCTGTCGACGAAACAAACTCCCGCGGCGAGTGCACCTGAGGTCAACGGTGTCTGAACTACAGTCTATTAATTAGTGTATAGTGTGGATATGTGGTAAAGCCAATCATATTTCCATCCCCATAAATAGGCTATAAATGGGTGGTAAAAACCATCCCCAAATGGTAGGTTTATTATTGGGCTTACCACATTAGTGTAATTGTTTTGAACAGAGGGCCCCAGTCAAGACGTTCAAATGCTTCCAGTTCTGTAGTACCCCATGCGCGACCTGTTTGGTATATTCAGAATTGGTTGAATTTCCATTTTTTCAGGGTGATGATCAAGGTCTTATGAAACATGTGGGTAGGAACGGTTGATTATTGCCACCAAGAGCAATTGGCTAACATGTTCCTAACTGACGCAATATCCATACAAGACTTTGGTCGACATGGCGGTATGGTATTCACCTTCTCCAGTTGGAGCCTATGAAGCCTTTGCCCATGCAAAAGGGCTAGCTAGAAACCATGATGGATCAGGTAGAATACCATAGGCTAAGTCTAACAGTCTAACTACCACTAAATATGAAGAATAGAAGGGTAGCAACTCAGAAGGTACCTGGAGCTTCCGAAGATATTGAGGTTGATTGAACCGTATTTAGCCATCGCCGCTGAAGAGACCTCTTTATGTCGTGCGTTGCGCGGAAAGACCGCGGAAAACGAGCGCTCAGGAGCCATGTGGTCGAAGAGTGGTGTGTGAATATGCTTCATTTGTGCGATAACATGAGGGGAAGACGATTTGTATGCAGACCATTTGATACGATACCGTTCGATTTATTGTATGGCTTTGTTTGGGCACCCCCCATGTCTAAAACTACTTGGTTTTGTATGGCTATTAATCAGTTAACATTAAACTGTCCAAGAATTGGAGACCAGTTTTGTTTTATAATGATGGTAAAGTATGGTAAAGTGTAATTGGGGATCTACTGCGAACATATTCTGATCACATTCCATGCATTAGCATGCATTAACCGAAAATATCGAGCAAGTGGTTCAATATCTTTACTAATCCCATCACGTGAGAGAATGTGAAATGCCCTGCCAGAAACCAAGGTTCATTATATATATATATATATAATTATATATATAATTATATACATATATATATATATCCATATGTGGTAATTTATATATATATATATTGGGGGAATAGGCGGGCTGCACTGTTTGGAATGAATATCGAGTAGATTATAGCCCAAGTCATTGCCGATTTACTTCCCAAAAAGATCCCATTTTTTTGGGTCTTATTGACTGTCATTATATAAGTTGCTGGTGAATCCTGTTGTGTTGCTGGTTCATCCACATCATCGCCAGTATGTATTATTGGCAGATTGGATTGAAGGATTCCCCACAATTCTCCCTTATCATTTGTTTTAATGCGCGTTAATCAATGTTTCATCCATATTATGTGTGCATTATCATACTCCAAATATATTGATCCTTTTCTCGTAGTATCATGATGACTTGTGGGATCATAATCAAAGTCCATGTCTGATTCATATAATATATTATTTTCATTATGATTCATGGCTTCATAATTAAACTCCTATATATAATATAATTTAATTTAATTTAATATGGTATATTATATTATAATAAACATAATAAGGTATAATTTAATATAATATGATATAATACAATTGAATATAATATCATATATAGTTTAATATAATTTAATATAACAAATAATATAATACATTTTAATATGATATAATGTAATATATTTTTAGTATAATATAATAAGTAACATAATACAATTTAATATGGTATATTATAATATAATAAGATATAAATTAATATAATATGATATAATATAATTTAATTCAATATCACGGGTTTCAGACTATGACCGAGACCCTTCCCGGAGGTCCCCACCAAGAGGCAGATGCAAGTGCACCTTTTCACTCCAAGTTGGGCTCGGTAAATTGAGCCAGTCAGTTGATTGGCCCTTGAGCCAATTGAATGGCTTGAGCCATAGTTGCAACAGTCGGAGGACGTCTCAACGACTGTGAAAACTTTAAAAAGACCTTAGTGGGGGTGCAGTGGTACTCTGTGCATGTTTCCCA